GCCACGCCCGTTCGTGCCTTTCCATGTACACGCGCGTACTTACGTCTATGGACATGCTTGCACCTGCACGCGCATGCGCACATATGCATGCATACATACACGCGCATGCGCACATGCGTACATGTACATCCACACATCCACATCCACATCCACATCCACATCCACATCCACATCCACATCCACATCCACATCCACATCCACATCCACATCCACTCCCCCTCCTCCCTCCTCCCTCCTCCCTCCCACACCCACACCCACACCCACATGCACACAGTACCTCCACAGCCAGTCGATCGTCCACCGGGACCTCAAGCCGGAGAACATTCTCCTGCTGAAGCCGGACTTCGACGCGACTCCTGGCTGGGAGAAGGCCATCATCGACCCACGCACCGGGCGCCCGCAGCAGCTGGTGTGGATCAGTGACTTCGGCCTGGCGCGCGAGCTCGGCGAGATGGAGGCCCTGCAGGGCCTGTCGGGGTCCGAGGCGCCGGAGATGGCGCCCGGCGGGGCCCCGGCCGCCACCGAGACGGCCGACATCAGCCGCGAGTACCAGCAGCTGATGACTTCCATTTGCGGCACGCCGCTGTACCTGGCGCCGGATGTGCTGGAGCACGGGCGCCGGCTGATGAATGGCATCAACTTCAACATTCAGACCGGGCGTGTCCGGCAGGACGACCGGGACAAGGTCATCCGGACGCTCAACTCTGACGATGGCATCATGCTCGGCGGTGGGTACAGCGCTGCCGTGGACATGTGGTCCCTCGGTGTGACGCTCTACATCCTGTACGTCCTGCTCCCTCCTGTTGGTCTTTTGCGTCGCCCGGCCGTGCCGGACACTGACCAGTGTTGGTCCTCCCCGCCGGCGGCCTGCTCGCCGCGGTCTCTCTCTCTCTCTCTCTCTCTCTCTCTCTGTGTGTGTGCGGGGCACAACAGCCTGGTTGGCTATCCGCCCTTCCACCCGCAGCCGGGCCCGAACCAGCTGCGGCTGAATGACCAGATCCGTACGTCGGAGATCGTCTTCCACCAGCCCTACTGGGATACCATCTCCGACCAGGCCAAGAACCTGGTGCTGGGCTTGCTGAACCGCGACCCGAAGAAGCGCCTCACTGCCCGGCAGGCCCTGGCGCACCCGTGGTTTTCCACCTGACGAGGGAGCCGCCGGCGTGTGTGGCATTACCGATCCGCTGGGGTTTCTCCTCCCCCCCCCCCCCTCCCCCCTCTTCCCCTCCACGGCCTTGGGCGCGTGTGCACCTAGAACTGGTCGGGCCATGTCACAATACATCCCCTTCCCCCACAGGGGAGATCCAACAGCAGCGCAGCATCAGGGAGTTCTTCTATGGAGTTTGTACAGGAGCAAGGATGCCGAGTGGGGGGTGCGGGGCAGATAATGGCGGGGCCTCGGCCTGCATCGGAGGCCGTGCCGGCCGGCCGGCCGACGCTACTCCAGCGGCCTCGGCCGGGCCACGGGGAGGAATGCACCCGGGCGCCGGCGCTTGACGGGCGAGCCGTCCTCCAGGGCCGGGCGGCTACGACCGAGGGTCCCCCCCGGGGAGGGTGCCCCACCGCCGCCGCCGCCGCCGCCGCCGCCGCCGCCGCCGCCAGTGCCCGGGCCAGGGGGGCCTGCTGGCTGGCCGTTGGTCGTCGGCCGGGCCACCCAGGCCAGCGGGTCCCCGGGAAGCGGCCACCCCGGGCCCGGTGTCAGGCTGACATTGAGCGAGCGCCAGAGCGGCAGGGCCACATCTCGCCGGAGGATGGCCAGGGTGGTGTGCGCCGGGCCGCGCAGTGGCAGCGCCAGGCGCCGGGCCCGGCCGAGGGACAGGAGCACCGCCAGGCGCAGGGCCGCCGGCGCATGGAGCAGGGCCGCCGGGAGCGGCAGGACCGGCAGGTGGGCCACCATGTCGGCCAGGGGCCCGGCGGTGCTGGCGGCCCCGCGATCCCGGGGCCCGGCGGCCAGCAGCAGGCACAGGCGCCCGGCGGTTTCCAGAACCAGAGCCTGCTCCGGACTGAGATGCCCCGGGGCCCCGGGGCCGGGGCCCAGCACGCCCGGGCGCGGCCGGGTCACCAGCAGCACCGAACACACGTCCACCGCCGCCAGCAGGGCCGATTGCGACAAGGCCGGCAGGGGGATCGGCGAGTGCGGCCGCGGGTCATCCGGGCCCGGGGCCGCCGGCGACCACCCGGCCGCGTGTGGCGCATGGCCTCGGGGGGCCGAGTGGTCGGGCCCCACCGCGGCCGGGGGGCTGATCCCCCGGAGTGGCTCGAGGATCAGCTTGAGCACGGCGACGGCCGGCTGCCCGGCGGCCAGCATGGCCACCTGGGCCAGCAGCAGCCCCGGCGGCCCGGCCAGCGACCGGGCAGAGGGGCCGGCCATGGCCGAGCAGCCCGCGCCCCCGGCGAGCCCCTCGCCGACGACCGCCTGCAAGCCGGGAAGGGGATCGGCCGCGGAATAGTGCGCCGCCAGGCGCGTCACCAGGAATCCCAGCAGCTGGTCCCGGCCGGCGGCCAGGCCCCGGGCATAGTCCTTGATGCGCGGCTGGCCCGGGTCGCCGGTCAGCGGGTTCCCCGGGGCCGGGAGCGGGTGCTGCCGGGTGCCCAGCACCGGGCCCAGCCGGTCCGGCCGCAGGGCATACCCATGGCGGAACCGGTGTCCGGAGGACCCGACCGACAGGATGCACTGCATGTACAGGCACCGCAGGGCGTGCAGCGTGCACCCGAGGGCCAGCGTGGCCGCCGCGCGCTGCGGGTCGCGGAAGTGCCCGCGCGGGTGGTGGCCGGGGCCGGCGGCCGCGCCGGCTGACCGGCGTCCGGGGGCCTGCCCCGGCAGCCAGGCGCTCAGCGCCGCCTCGGCCTCTGCCCCCCCGGGCAGGACCCCGGCCGGCACCCGGTCTTGGAGGCTGTTCACCAGCTCCAAACACCGGAAGGCCCGCCAGCAGGCCGGGCCCGAGGAGGCCATCCGCAGCGGCGAGCCCAGGGGGCAGCACCGGCTGCCCGGGTCGCCCGCGTGCTCCGGCCCCTCGACCGCCAGGGCCACGCACACCAGCCACTCGGCCACCAGGGCCCGGAGCCGGCCGGTCAGTCCGGCCCGGGACCCAGGCTCGCGGGTGCCCCCGGAGACGGGCGCTTCGTCCAGGTCCAGCACGGCCACCAGCAGCCGGAGCCCGGCGCTGCGCCACGACGCCCAGGGGGGCAGGGAGTGTTATGTTTTTGTTTTTTTTTTGCCACCCCGCGCGGAGAGGAGGACGGTCAGTACGGGCCCGGGGGTCCGGGGGCCAAAGGGGGGGGGAGAAGCAAAGGAGGGGGAGGGGGCCACTTGAGCCGCGCCCTGCCGGGCGGGGCCGCGACGCACCGTGCAGCGTCCCCGGCGATGGCCGAATGCGGCCCGGTCAGATATTCGGCCAGCCAAAGCTGCAGGGCCCGGGCCATGCCGGCCGTCGGCAGCGCCTGGGGCCCAGTGTCGCCGGCGCTCGCCATGCGCAGGATCCACGCCACGGGGCAGGGGGCCGGCGGGGGATTGGATCTCGGGCCCGGGGCCCGGCACACACAGTCCGGCCCGGGGTCCTGGCACTCGCCCACGCGCGCCAAAAATTGGATGCACGCGTCCAGCGGGAGGCCGAGCCCGGCCGGCTGCGACGGGGCCACCCGGCCGCCGGGGGTCTCGTCGCCGGTCTCGACCGTGGCGCTGGGCACCGGCGGCGCCGGCCACTGCGCGGCGCAGCGCCGCAGAAACCCGGCCACCCGGCCGGCATCCCACTCGGCCGACCGATGCCACAGCAGGGCCAGGATGCCGGGGAAGTCGCCCCTTGCTGGAAGGGCACGGCCCGCCGCGGGCAGGGAGCCCAGGGACGAGGGGGAAAGAGCCCGGCAGGTGAGCACACTGGGGGGGGGGGGG